AGCAGGGAGCCCGATGTGGGACTCGATCCCAGGACCCTGGGATCATGACCTGAGCTGAAGGCAGTCGCTTAATCAACTGAGCCACCCAGGCGCCCGGGATTGTCTTTCTTCTAACTGGACTCCATTTAAAAGGGAAGTGAGAGGAGCAGCTCCAGCTTCAGAGCCCTTTAAACCATCTGTCCCAGAAAGGCCCTCGAAGTTGCCCAGAAAGGCAACTTTACAAACTGCCTGTTCCTGCTCTTACACTCTTACACACACACACACACACACACACACACTTATTTGATGTTTCATAATATAAAAATGTTGAAATCTTTACAATTCTTTCAAATGAAACCATACAAAGGAATTCAAAATATTTATAGACACCCCCATCCCCTTCAGAGTTAATTCGTTCAACAGTGATTTGATAAAACAAAACATAGGTTTCTTAAAAAATAATACATTAGACTGAGGGAAATTATGTATCAAGCATATCAGTATCACCTTTATTCCAACATGTCTTTTTAAAACTTTTTAAAGATAAGAATAGGCACTTATCCAGTTGGGAAAAGAAAAAAAAAACAGCCTTTACAAAATCATGCTGAAAACAAATTTCTACCTCATATTTGAAAGTCTTATTTATCTTTGATCAATGCCTTGTTTTTTGGGGGTGCTATGAGCTGAAAGATTCATCTGTTCATTTTTTGTACAATCATCACATAAATAATTCATGGATGCTATATACTGACTGCAGGGAGAAAATTCCAACTGTGCATCAAACTCTTAGAGGATGTAAGTTATAGACATGGTTAGGTTTGTTAGCTCTGTGTCAACTGTTTTAGCTGGAATTTTTTGGATTTCTCTTTTAAAATGAAAGGCTATTGTTTTGAGGTTCTTTCTTAATTTTTTCTAGACTGAACTCCAAAAGCATATATAATAACTTCCCATGTGACTTTGAAAGCTTAAGTGTGATAACTGTAAAATGTTCTGTTGCAACTTAGAAATTCAAGCCGTGGTAGTTTTACAAATTGCATAAAGATATCTGAGCACTGAAGAAAATTCTAGCAAGTGACAGAACTCAATCCAAATGTTTCTGAATACAATACAGTAAATACAGGCTAACAATTCTTAAGAGTTAACAACACTGTACTGTTCACATTCGTCAAATGCATAGATCAAAAGTCAAAACATAAGATTGTGCATTAGCTCTAAAAATTCCATGTATAGGTTAAACCTCCCAGGTATTTGTGGCAGCATTTTAGATGAGGGCAGTTTTATATATGAAATAGTTGTAAAGCAATAATCCAGTTCCTTTACTGTTAGTTTATATTTTGAAAAATCTCAGGTTACAGAGAATATCAGTCTATTTGGATTATTTTAACAGGAAAGGTCAACGTGTAGAATTTAGAAAGTTTAAAAAAATAAGACATGTCTTTCTGTACAAAGAAACTTTTGAAAAACATTAGATGATTCTGCATAATTTACAATATGAAATTATATAATTGGTTTTTAAAAGCTGTTGATTTTCTACTCATTCCTTTAACAATAATTTTTGTTAACTAAAATATGTACTTTATTCAGACATATTTATATACGGCAAAGATTAAAAAAAAAAAAGGTTGCACCAAAGTTAAAAAAAAAAAGGTAACAAGTCAATTCTACTAGGGATTGTGTTCTTTTTAAACGTTAATGTGCAGAATAACAAAGTATTTAGATATTATCCACTTATATTTATTACTAGTTTGTAGAATATTTTCTAGATCTTAAATGTTATAGGTAAGATACTCTCTTCACAAAACAGGTTTTTCCTCAACCTTCCTGAAAGAAGATAAGGAGTTCCAAGAGGAATCTAGACTTTCAAAATTTCTTAATAGAGTGCAAAAAAAGTGACCCTCAAAGTTAGCTGAGTGACACAAAAAAACACCTATCAGTAATGATTAAAGATATGACACATTCTCAGTTGCCCTAAAAATTAGGAAAGATCTTTCCACCCCCCAATACCGACTTCGTGAAGTCGGCTTTATTTTTACCTACTATTTAACATGGCTGGGGTGGAACAAAGGAGTTTCAAGACAGATTTAAGTATTTTAGATGGTATTCTAAAATACTTGCAAATTAGCAAGGCAAATGTAAGAATTTTTAGTTTGGCAGCAAAAGGAGTTTGTCTTCTGACACAAAATATTTATCCTAAATCTTTAAGAGAGATTATTCAGGTGTCCTGACAGTTTAAGAAGTCTGTAAAAGCTGAGTATCAAGAAAGGTACCTCACTGGATTGGGATCTTATCACCATATAAATTCCATTTCTATGGTTACTGGTAGTCAGGAATGTTAACTGGAATGTCACTACATTCAAATATGTGAAATAACTTTCTTTCAAAAACTAGTTTATATTGAGAGAACCATGGTTGTTCTAGGGTATTAAGAAAGGGGCAATGGAGTTGGAAGTTGAACATACTAAATCGCACTCTGTGAATACAGTTTTCATGATAGTATGTACATATCAGGATGTGTTTGGCTAACAATACTTTCCCAAGAAGATATTCACTGTGTAAAGTAATATTTTGTTAAACATCTGGGCTATATGGGAAATGGCCATTTCAAATAAGCAGCAACAAAATACCACTAGTGAAAATTCTTTTGAAAATCAAATCATGTACATGAGTAATGAAACTTCTGAAAAGGGCAAATTAGATCACATTACTGAACACAAAATTATTGCCCAGTGCGGAAACCACAAGATGTAAAATTTATACATATATGTGTATATGTGTATATATATATATAT